GGATGGACCCCCGGCCCCAGCGCGGGCAAGCGGGGAGCCGACCATGGGGGAAGGGAGGAAAGAGCCAGGCGGTGAGGCCTTCCGCTCCCACGACCTCCCCCGTGGTCGGTCGCCACCTGGCCCCACCCCTCGGCCCGCCGGCGGTCAGGACACTCGGACCCGCTCCGGGGAGGGATCCCAGAGCCCAGCGGCCAGACTCCTCCTCCCGCACCGCCCGGAGAGGCGGGCGGTGCGCCTTTAACTGCTCAAACCCACTTATGGTGCTAAGCGATCCAGATTGGCACCAGGCACCGGCAGCGGTTGTGAGCAGCAGCTCCAGTGCCGACTACAGGTGTGAGTGGGGCCGGTGCTGGCAGTGGGTGCGAGAAGAGGCTGCCAGCTCTGATCTTCCCTCAGGAGCAGGTGGAGATGGAGAAGCCCTAAGGCAGCGGTTCTCAACCTGTGGGTCGCGACCCCTTTGGGGGTCGAACAACCCTTTCACAGGGGTCGCCTAAGACCATCGGAAAACACATATATAATTACATATTGTTTTTGTGATTAATCACTATGCTTTAATTATGGTCAATTTGTAACAATGAAAATACATCCTGCATATCAGATATTTACATTACGATTCATAACAGTAGCAAAATTACAGTTATGAACTAGCAACAAAAATAATTTTATGGTTGGGGGTCACCACAACATGAGGAACTGTATTAAAGGGTCGCGGCATTAGGAAGGTTGAGAATCACTGCCCTAAAGGATGATTGGGGCTGGCAGCTGCCACTCACACCTGCTGACAGTGCCAAACTATCGGGGTTGGTACCAGGCGCCGGCAATGGGTGTGAGCGGCAGCTCTGGTGTTGGCAGCGGGTGCAAGCAGGGCTGGCGTGGGCAGCAGGTGCGTCAGGTGGGACCGTGGTGTGTGAGAGCAAAGAATTTTCAGTAACACCAGAGGCTCACCCCGACGACAGCGACGGGTGCCTCGCCTTGGTCTGGCACCCATGCTCACCTGTTCCACCATCCTGCCATGGCCGACGCCTGCCATGGTCCGTGCACGCCCTTTGGTGGTCCGTGCACGACTGGTTGTTTGGTTGTTCCACTGTTCAGTCTATTTGCATATTAGCCTTTTATTATATAGGATTTCTCAGCCAAACATTTGCCAGCCAATAATAGTGTTGCTCAAAAATGAAAAGAATTAGTTTTTCTTTAAAAGGTGAACATATAGTTAAATAGGGAAAATTAAACATAAAGGAATTTTATGGTTTATACTTACAAAATGAATCTTAAAGTTTCAAAAAGTAAGTAACTAGTCCATGTTCTCAAGTCTATACAATTATAGTATATGGAAGTAGTAATTACAAAACCCAATATTTATGGAGCATTTGCTGTGTGGTAAGCATACAAATTATCTCATTTAATATTTAAAACAACCTGGGAGGTAAGTACTATTACTATCCTCACTGTACAGATTATGAAAACCAAGGTTTAAAAATGTTAAGCAATTTTCACAAGGGCACAGAATTAGGATGACACAGATTTGGTAGTCAGGCTAGAAACCTTAGTAGTCTACATTGTCTTAAGGTGAAAATAAATTTATTTACAGAATTCCAGATACTGGCACTAAAGCATTTAACAAATTAAAAGCAAGTGCGTTTTAAAAGAGGCAAAAATAGTACATAGTGAAGGTAAATATATGGGGTGAATGCTAAAAATTTAATTACAATGATTAAAACTACTACTCAATCTTGTGAACCTGCCGTGGGTAATAGAAGAAGTTTGGATACTTTGGGGCATCAATATTAATGTGGCTTTAAATGAGTAATTGCATTTCTACATAATATGTAATCTTGACTTTAACACTAATTAAAAATGTTTTTAATATATATGTTTTTTATTGATTTCATAGACAGAGAGGGAGAGAGAGAGAAAGAGAGAGAAAGAGAGAGACATCAATGATGAGAATCATCCATTGACTACTGCCTCCTGCATGGACCCTACTGGGGATCGAGCCTGAAACCCTGGCATGTGCGCTGACCAGGAATGGAACTGTGACCTCCTGGGGCATGGGTCCATGCTAAACCACTGAGCCACATCAGCAGAGCTTCAGCACTAACTTTGTGCATGCAGCAGTTTTTTTCTTTAAGTAAAAATACTTATCAAAATACCAATAACATTTTATTTATATACTATAGGGGCCCAGTGCACGAAATTTGTGCTGGTGATCAGGGCCCATAGGGGCCTTCCAGCTGCCCGCTGGGGCCTTCCTTTCTTTCGTGCTGCCCCCTGGTGGTCAGCACATGTCACAGTGAGCAACCAAACTCCTGGTTTCCCCATGGAACTCCCGAGGGGACACTTTGCATATTAGCCTTTTATATATATAGATAACACTGGCTTGTATTTGAAGTGACATTATAAGAAACTAAAAATTGAGTTTGCCTTTTCAGTGAAAAAGAGTGTGGGGACTTCCTGTGGCCTACACCTGCTCAGGCCCCATCTGCTCTGCACCTACTGTTTGAGCCCAATCCTCTAGTGAGGTTTCTCCAGAAAAAGAACAGAGGGCTGGAGGTAAGTAAAAATGCCATTTCCAAACTCTTAAAAATGGCAAGTTCCAAATTTCTAAATGCTTCATTCTACCAGACATTTCTCCGTCTTATCAACATTTTATTGAAGCATAATATACATGGTGTCCCTCCAAAAAATGGGACACACTTTACAGCTCTTACATTTTGAAACCATCTTTATAATTATTCAAAGTGTGTATACATTTTTGGAGACCTGTATTTACAGTGTTAACCTCACTTTAAAAGCAATTACTACAGCCTGGCTGTGGTGGCTCAGTGGTTGATCATTGACCTATGAATCAGGAGGTCATGGTTCCGGTTCCCAGTCCGAGTGCCTGCAGGAGGCAGCCGATGGATGATTCTCATCATTGATGTTCCTCTTTTCTCTCTCCCCCTCCCTCGTTCCTTTCTGAAATCCATACTATATATATATGTATATATATTTATATATACATATACATATATATGAAGTATGGTACCTATTTGCTTTGTTTAACAATGGACAGGTTACTTTGATTTTCTAAATTGTATAAGTCATCCCATTCGATTGAATGCCTTATCGATTGAATGACTATTCCATTGATTGTTATCATACTGGTCTTAGAGAGCACATTCTACTGTGCCTGGAAACAGGACAGCACAATTACCCTAAATTGTTTTAGTGGCCACAGGTGGTGCGTTCCAGCTGACTCAGTGATCCGGAGACCCAAAACTGTAATTTAGATAACATGCCTAAGTTTAACCCAGGTTACCCAAGGGCTCTAGATAATGTATTTCTGTCAATTCAGTGACCTCAAGACCCGAAACTGTAATTAACATGCTTAATTCTGCTTCTGTAATCTGCTTTTTTGCGAGCCAGGTGCCTCATTCCAAACCCTGAGATGTAATCAATACCTTTGTGATTTTTGCCTATATAAGTCTGGTTTTGCCACCATCTTCTTACTATGAGATTTGGGGATGACCCCTCATAGTCCCGGATTGCAATAAATGTGACTCTTTAATTCGACTTCTTGAGGCGTCCTTCTGTGATTCGCAGGATACATTACAACATATATATATATATTTACCGAAAGCAATTACTACAGTGCTCCAGGACATAAATCATGAAAGGATCTCCGTCCAGACAATGTGACCAGAGCAACAAAGATTTAAATGTCTCCTTGGGAGGGGCTGACAGCCTGGGGACAGGGAGTTAGAAAGGAGGCATTTCCGGTGTTTAGGTGTGCTTAGGTCTCGGTGACTGGCTGGCCCCAGGTTACTTGTACAGCCGGACATTATAAAGGGCCTGTTGCAAGGTCTGGGCCGGGAACGTCTCTGGTGTGAAAACAGAGGAAGGCGAGCCTCGGCCCCTTCAGGCGGTAAAACCAGAGTCAGAACTCCCACAGGGAGCCCTGCTCCACCAGGCAGCTGCCGGGGTCCCTGCTGCTCCCCACAGCCCCCCAGTTCTGCCAGGAGAGCCACAACCCCAGCGTGTTGGGGCCCACCCGACACCGCTCAGCGCCCCCAGAATAAGGACGGGAAGCCTTGCGAACACCGGGTGCTGAAGTGTCTCCTAAGCTACAGGCACTGTCAGGACTAAGCGCGGGAGCAGGTGCGGGTTCCTAACAGCACCCGCACCCCGACAAAGCGCGTCGCCGACTCCTCCTCCACCGGGGCAGTGGCGGTGCCCCTTCTCCCTCCCCAGGGAACCCCGACTTCCAAACCCCTGCCCAGCCTGCCCACCGGTCCTTCGGCAGCCAGCTGGCCGGGCTCGGACCCCGCCTAGGGAGGGGCCGGATTCCCTCCGTGACCAGACCGCGGGGGCGGGGCACGGCCTCCTGGGGTGCTGGGCCCCGGGGACCAGATGGGCCTCCTGGGGTGACCGGACCCAGAGCGCAAAGGGCTTCCTCGGGGAGGCCAGCTCCCGGGGACGGGCCCCTGTGCGACCGGACCCGGAGCCAGGACGCGGCCTCCTCCGGAGACTGGATCCGGGGCAGGACAGGGTTTCCTCAGGGCGACCGGATCTGGGCCCGCCCGGGCCTGCTGGGGGCCTGGAGCCGACGGCGCGAAAGGGCTTCCTTGGAGAGGGCCCCGGGTCTCGGGGACGGGGGCGCGGCCGCCCCCCGAGAGAGCTCCCGGGCGCCGCGCGGCACCCCGGGGCCGGGCGCGCTGCGCCCCGAGGGCTCCGTCCGGCCCGCAGGCCGCGGCACCGCCTCTTCCGCCGGCGCGTACGTCAGCTCGCAGCGCCCCGCCCCGCCCCGCCGCCCGCGAGAGGCCGCCTCCGCCTGGCCTGGGCCTGGAGCGGCGCACGGCGCAGTCCCTCCCCGCCATGGCCCTGGGAGGCGGCAGCACATGGCGGCCGCAGCGGCCATGAGCACGCCCGCGGCTCGCCCCGGCCCCCCCTAGAGCCCGCCGCCGCCCGGCCGCGCCACGGCCCCGCCGCCCCCGGCCCCGCCGCCCGCCGCCCCGCCGCCCCGCCGCCCCGCGCCCGCCGCCGCCGCCGCCATGGGCGTGCAGGGCTTCCAGGACTACATCGAGAAGCACTGCCCGAGCGCCGTGGTGCCGGTGGAGCTGCAGAAGCTGGCCCGGGGCAGCCTGGTGGGCGGCGGGCGGCAGCGGCCCCCGCACACGCCGCTGCGCCTGCTGGTGGACGCCGACAACTGCCTGCACCGCCTCTACGGCGGCTTCTACACCGACTGGGTGAGCGGCGGCCAGTGGAACCACATGCTCGGCTACCTGGCCGCGCTGGCCAAGGCCTGCTTCGGCGGCAACATCGAGCTCTTCGTCTTCTTCAACGGCGCGCTCGAGAAGGCGCGGCTGCACGAGTGGGTCAAGCGGCAGGGCAACGAGCGCCAGACGGCGCAGCAGATCGTCAGCCATGTCCAGAACAAGGGCACCCCGCCGCCCAAGGTCTGGTTCCTGCCGCCCGTCTGCATGGCGCACTGCATCCGCCTGGCGCTCATCCGCTTCCACGTCAAGGTGCGGCCGGCCGGCGGCGCGCGGCGGGGGCCCCGGGCCCGGGGCTGGGCGGCCGGGCGGGCGGCCTGGGCTCGGTTGGGCGTGGGTTTGGGCCCGGACCGCGGGGGGGACTGGGTTCTGGGAGGTCGGGGGCGGGGCCGGCCGCGGTCTCGGGGCCCCGGGGGCGGGATGGGGGGCCGGGGGTCTGCGGGATTCCGGGGTCACGGGACGCCAGGGTAGCGAGTGCTGGGGCCGGGGTCGACGGGGCTTTGGGGGTCAGGGGGGCCGGGGTCGGGATGGGCCGGGGGCCCGGCCGCAGGCGCCGCTCTCCCGTCCCGTCCGCCGGGCCGCAAGATGAACGCTCGGCCTGGAGCCCGACTGGCGGCCGCGAGTGCCCGGGGGTCCCGCTGCCTGGCGGCTCGAGACCCTCCGGACCGCGGGCCGGTGCAGACCGGGCTTGCAGGGTGCAGCGCCCCTCTCTCTGAACCCCCGAGTGCTCCCCCGTTCGCGGGGGCGGGCCGGTGACTGGCCTGAACTTGGACGAGGTGCCCGTTTGCGAATAGCAGCGCCAGCACAGCAACAGGTTTCCGTGGCGGCGGGCGGGTTGGGCGGCGGCGGGCGGGGGTCCCCAGCCAGCGGGGCAGCGGGGCGGGTAGAAACTGCCCGGCGGCGACCCGGACAGGCCCGCGGAGCCGGCCCCCCGGAGGACGCAGGGCTGGGTGCGGGTTCCCCGAGGGTGACAGTGGGGAAACTGTGTGATCGTGGTGCCGGATTGCAACCGGTGGACTCGGTGAAATGTTCTCGGTCTTGTGATTTCGCGTCCGTGCGCACAGCCTGGGGCTCTGCTGTGGACGGTGGTCCCGAGTCGGGGAAGGGCAGAGAGTCGGGTTCCAGGATTTGCGTGTCTGCACAGCGGGGATTCCGCCGCCGGGCCGGGCTGGGCACCCCGGTAATTGGAGCTTCGGCCGCGGCTGCTCGGCCGTCCCTTTGGCAGAGGGCGCCTCGCTGAGCCTGGGCCCTGGAGAGCTTCCCGGCCAGCACCCAGGGCAGAGATAACATGCAAATCACTGTAACCCTTGACTGCAGTTTTGCTTCCTTTTCCACTGTTTTCCTTTAGAACTTGTTTTGTGGGTTGTGTTGGGTTTCCTGGACTTTGCCCCTCTGTCTTCCAGTTTCCTTTCCTCCTTTTTGAAACTGCTAGAAGCCCCAAGTTTGTGAAATCCAGACTCTTCCTGCCTGCCCCGCACTGCGTGAGCTGGGGGTGGTGGAGCCAAGAGATAGCGGAAGTCCCGCCCACCCCGACCCTGTGCGATTGGTGACGGCTCCCGAGTCTGCGGGTCCGGGCGGCTGGCAGGGCGGCGATTGGTCTGTGAACCGGGCCTGGAGGAAGCGGCCCCCTCCGGGAAAGTTGGGGTGACAGAAGGGGCTGCTGCTCTGAGCAGGCAGGCAGGGTTCCCAGAGGTGATGCCGCTGAAGATGCCATAGAATGGCAGCAGTTTATCCGTTCAGGGATGCAAACGACTGCTAGGAAGACGGGAGGAGCTTTCTAACCAAGCGGCTCCCAAAGGAACTGTGAATATGAGGATTTACATCAGTGTGTGTACAGTCACTGTATCTCTTAAAATAACTGCTCAGTTCTTTTTTAATTATAAAATTTCTTCATATTTATCTTGGCACCCCTGTGAATGCCTCACTTAATACATAATTCATTCAGAATTTTGACCAGTGTGTGAATATGTGTTTGGAAACAAAATTTAAACTAGATTTAAGATGACTTAAGTTTATGGACAAATGATAAGTTTGTGTATAATTATTTTGCTTTAGATAAACCTTTAACTTTTAATATAGAATCATAGTATAGTGTTAATTGCACAGATTAATATAGTAATGACTCTATTACCTGGTAGCCACCTTTCTGCCAGCTTCACCTTTTTGGAAAATGCCTAAGAAATTTAGCTACTAGAAATTTCTCAGCAGCCAAAGGAAAGGTTAAGAAGTTTGGATACTGTGACCCAAAAAGGGGGAAAAAAAAGCTTTCTCTTTCCTCATCAAAGAATCAAGTTCTCTTCCTTATAGACTCCCCTCTCCTTTTCCGATATAATTCTGATAAGCTTAGTTATGTATTTCTAAGCTCAGCTTGAGAAAGGGTTCAGAGGAAAGCCTGCCAGAAGCTGGAGCACCATTAATAGCAAGAAGTGACACTTCGCAAAGGAGAAGATTAAAAATAAACCTATTAAAAAAGACATAATTTGGGGGCTACTTGAGAAAAATAACCCTATGTACTTTATTAGCCCCTGAGGGGTTAGTATAGTGTTTATAAGGATTTTGAGTCAGAAGGATTTATGTTCAGCATTCTCTATGGAAGTGAAGCAGTATGTACTATTTTTCAAAGATGTCCATTAAAATAGTTAAGTAAATTAAAGCCATGATGACATGCCACTGCATACCTGTTAGAAGGGTTAAAATAAACAACACCCATAATACCAAGTGCTTACAAGAACGCTGAGCAGTTGGAATTGCCCCACGTGGCTGGTGGGAATTCAAGAGGGCACCGCCATTCTGGAGAACAGCTCAGTGGTTGCTTATAGAATTGAACGTACATTTACCATAGCAATCCTCCTCTGGGTCTTTACCTAGTGGAATTTTTGTTCACACAAAAACCATACACGGATGTTCATAGTAGTTTTCATCATAATAGCCCAAACTTGAAACAACCAAAATATCCTTTAATAGACAAGTAGTTAAATTGTGGTACATCTGTACTATGCATTACTACTTAGCAATAAAAAGGGACGAATTGCCGTGCTGGCCTGGCTCGGTGGTTGAGTGTCAACCTGTGAACCAGAAGGTCCCCGTTGGATTCCTGGTCAGGGCACATGCCTGGGTTTCGAGCTCCATCCTCAGGAGGCAGCCGATCAATGATTCTCTCTCATCATTGATGTTCCTCCCCCCTCTCCCTTCATCTGTGAAATCAATAAAAAAAATTTTTTTAATGGAGGAATTATTGATACATGCAATAACTTGAGTGAATCTTCTAGGTTTTATGTTGAGTGAACAAAAAGTATTCTATTTTTATGACATTCTCCTAAGGATAAGACTGTACTGATGGCGACAGATCAGTGTTTGCCAGAGGAGAAGGGCAGGAGAGGTGTGAATATAAAGGGACAGCAGGAGGGAGCTTTTCGGGTAATGAAACTGTTCTGTATTCTGATGGTGGTGATGGTAATATATTTTAAAAAATCATAGAGCTATACATCAAAAGTAAATAAAAGTTAGTTTTACTGTGTGATAATTTTTTTAAAGGTTATATAAAAATTGACAAAGAATTGACATAACACCTATGTGTAATGTTGGGCATATGAGGCATTTCTCTTATAAAAATCTATCATCTTATTGGTCTTTATGCTTCTGAAAACTGGCAGAAAGGTTTTAATTTCTTGTCAGTTTTGCTTAGAGAAATCTTTTTTGACTCAGAAGAGTATGTTTTTGATAAAGTACTTAAAAGGAATACAATTATTACTTTAACCATTAGAAGTTGGCATTTATATCAACTAATTTTGTTCAGGTCACAAAACTCCTTGGCCTGGATTTGGCTTCTGCTAGTTACTCAGAGCATTTCCTCTTGTGTGCCTTGAGTCATCATAACCTTTGACACTTAGGGAGGAACTGATGTTTATTTAAAAATTTTAGTGGCATAAATCTCCGAGGTTTCCTAAATGTTCCTGTCACAAGACTTGTGGTGTTGGTGTGTGGGTTTATGATGAAGTTCTTCAGATCTTGTCCTGAATCGGTGCTCTGGTGGATTTACTCAGATCTTACATAAAGCAGTGCTCATGTTTTAAGTCAGCTGAGGAATGTGAGATTCGACTGTGGCTTGAGATTTCGGAATGATTTCTCTTTGTGTAGTTGGTGGGGGCAGGAGGACTAACTTGTGGGGTGCCAGACCTTGCTAAGTTCTCCCTCAGAGCATCTCATTTAACCCTCAGCATTTTGTTACCCCATTTTATATGGGAAAAAGTGGGCTTGCTTATTGACACCTGAGGACAGGTAACCAGTAACCTCTTCAAGAGGGAAGTGCCCTGCTGAAGTCAAAGTTCAGTTTCATTGTGTAAGAATGCTTTGGGGGTGTGGCCACCTGCAGTTCACTTTCAGGTTAGATTTGATAGCAAAACGCCTCTACTGCTTTTTTCAGTTAGAAGGGGAATGGCACAGTTCCTATCCAGGAGACTCTGAAAACTAGCACTATGCTTTATTCTTAACACCTTGAATTGACCAGGGAACATTTAGGGCTCAAAATTGACAATATTATAACTCAAACCGGCCATCCATTTACAATACTTATTTTTTTTCCAGTGTACTGATTTTGTGCCTGACTTATTTCAGCTAGCCTAATGTATTCATGGTTCATCCATATTGTAAAATTGTGTTATAATTTCCTTCCTTTTTTAGGCTTAATAATACTCCATTGTGTGGATGGATCACATTTGGTTTATCCATCCAGCCTTCCATAGGTGCTTGAGTTGTATTCCCTTTTGGCTGTTGTGAATTATGAATAATGCTACTGTGAAACTGGGTGTACTAAATCTGTTCAGGTGCCTGCTTTCAATTCTTTTGGGTGTATAACCAGAAGTGGAATTGCTGGGTCAGTTGGTAATTTTATGTTTAATTTCTCAAGGAATCACCATATCGATTTCCACAGAAGCTGCCTATAACATACATTATATATGCACACACATATATACATTATTTAATATATTATCACAGTACAGTTTTAATTTTTTTAAGGTTAATGTGATCATACAATATATTATTCAGGAATTTGGGTTTTTGTAAGTATGTAAAAAAGTCTTTTCATGTCTATACTTACAGTTCTGATTCATTTTAATGCCTTTGTAGTATTCCATAATTTATCCAAGCCCTACAAATGAAAGGCATTTCATCATCCCATCCTGCCAGTCCCTACAATGTGCCATGTCAGTTCTAGCCCAGCAGTCTCTCCCTTACCCTCTTCCTCATTTCTA